CTAATAGAGCCTGTTTGTTTGGTTTTTGGTTGGTTTGTTGTTTTTTCTTTTTTTTTAAGGGTGGCTGCAGAGAAAGAGTTGTTTTGATTTTATTCCCAGGCATTAAAGCATTTCTGCTGCAATTAATTCATGGGCTGATGACCAGCTTGTGACCATACACTGGTGGAGAGATCAGCCGCTGCCACCAGAGAAGACGGGCAGTTTTGACTCTTATTTTTCCATCAACCAGAGAAATAATAGCATCTGTCCCCTCTACCCAACCATTTATCTTGCTGGAATCTCAACTGAGTGACAGAGAATACAGTATCTTACAGAGTGTGGGAAATTTATTCCATCAGAATGGCACACAGCACATCTGTAGTGCAGCTGTGCAAGGCTGGCTGGTGAAACATCACAGCTGAAAAGAAAACACAGGGCAAGTCTCATGTGTGTCTACCATATGCCACTAATATTACAACAGTTTTTCACATTTGGGTTCACAAAATTTCTATTTGTATTAGTGGCACTTGCCAAGTGTCTGGTCTCCCTAGTCTTAAATGGTGTCAGTTTGCTGAGCCCTCATAATTGAGACCACTAGGGGCCTCTAGTGGTCTAGTGGTTAGGGTGCAGGACTCTCACCGCTGCGACCCGGGTTCGATTCCTGGCCCCCCGGGCAGATGGAGCTCGTTAGCCCTGTAAGGCAATCCATCTAAGAGAAGGTCACTCTAAACAAACCTACGTTCTGAGACCCTCACTGCCACTGTCCNCTCACCTAAAAAATCCACTGCGCAGGCTCGAAGGGTTAATGACCTTTCCCAAATCTTCGCTCGCGAAGACTGGCCATTATATTATATTATTATAATTGAGAATAGAATTAGGCCACGTGTCTTCAAAAAGCCAACGTGTGTATTGAATGTGCCCCTGTATGCATCCATTTTTCCTAAATGACATAAAGATTGTCTTGCCTTTCTTACGTATGCTATGTGTTGAGTTTATATCTGCATTGCATATGCATAGATTATCCAGTAGCATCAGTTCACAAAGTGCTAATGCCATTTATCCAAAATATCTGCTGACACAGAGTATTTCAGACCTCCAAAAGCATATTTTCATCATAGACATTTCATAAGCTTCTTTGCTATTCTGTCAGTCATAAACCTTAATATAACTTTGGGTGACCAACCTCCTGCTCTATGGTCCATTCTGTTTTTATGCAAAAATCAAATTGTGTCTTCCAGTTCTAGACTTAAGGGCTGGTTTATGTGATTCCAGATATTGTGTCTTGAAATCAGATGGAGCTGAATCTGAAGAATATCTAATCCTCTTGGATCAACCAAAGTTTCTTCCCATCTGTTGCCGAGGGGGTGGAATGATAGTGAGTCATAAAGAAACTCCGGCTGATGGGAACTGAGGAGCAAATTGTTAAACCATCTCTCAGTTTCTCTTGACTATTCCTATATTTCCTCCTCCTTCCCAATGCAAAGTCAAGCAGGCAGCTTGCCCTGCTAGTGGAAAAAGGCTCACACATGATGCACAGTCTGAGCTCTATGGCTACCAGTGCCCCTGAGTAGAGTTGATGCCTACTCCTCTCCATTTCCATAAAAAGTCAAAAGGATTTCTTTTAACCTTTTATTAAATTAATTGTTCAGAGGTGGTGAAGAGCTTGAAACCACTGGGAAATCTGAATTTTTAAGAAAAGGTCACAGCTCAATTTGAACATATTCATGACGACCCTTAGGAAGTTGCAGTCAATACCTAAACATGATATGTCTCCAAGTGCTTCTTGGAGAAGCACTGTGTGATTTTTACTTTTTTTCTTTTTCCTGGGGAAAAAAATGTATAAATCTGGCTATTTTTTCCCTAATCTCCTTTCATGCAAGATATTCTTTCTCTCCTTTCTCCTCTTATCCTCTTTTCAACTTCTTTGGGATCAAAAGTGATTGTTCTCAGATATGGTTCAGAGCATTATCTAGTCCAATCTCCCCTTCGCAACAGCTCAGTATGAAAAGACAGCAGCACTTCAGTCCTCAGAAGTGGTATTATTAGGACTATCATCAGGAGGAATCCTTTCAGATACATGTACTTCCTATTTCACCATGAATTCAATTTCATTCTTCCTCCTACATCTCTTTCTGTCCCATTCTGAGGGAGTGCAACCCAAGTTATCTCCGTACAAAATCATTATTTGTTTTCAAGAACACCATCATGCTGTCAGCAGCATTGGAAAAGAGTAACCATAAAACTAAAAATTTATTTCTAGTTTATATTGCTGGTTTAGCTAATAAAAGACTGAGATATTGCTTCCTTATGGTACGATAGCCTACTTCTCAAGAGGAGACAAGTGTTCTGAGATGAACCCACTGCCTTTCACTGTTATACAACAGGTTAGGTGTAACAACAACACTTAAAAATTAAAAATAAATAAATAGTAAGGCTCTTTGTAGTCCCATTGCACACAGACTTTTGTGAACCTCAAGCAGCTACTTATTTTGCTGTCAGTAGGGCAGCATTTTTGAAGTCCAAACCCCTCATTCTCTATGTAGAATATTTTAAAATCAATTCTATGTTAAAAAAGAAAACAGTAAATTAGGTGACATGCCATGAGTTTCATAACACATATTTCTAGCTTCTTCTTCTTTGTGTGACTCATTATTTTATCTAAAACTGGAGTATATAGGAAAGAAGAATAGACTATGGGGTAAATGTGTGAATGGAGGAATATCTGTGGCATTCGGTCAGAGCTGTGAAGACAGGTATGTGCCTGAGGCATTTCTACTATAAAATACTAAAAATGAATATCAAACACATCTGATGACAAATTTTGACTGACTTGATTTTCATTATGATTGAAAGGCCTTCCTGAAGCAACAAATATTTATCCAAATATAGCTTGTTCCCAGAAAACATGGATCTGGATTTCTCCTGATTGACTTTGGTCACTCAGCTGAAGTAAACTAAGAGCACAGATCCCTCAAATATGAAAAAGGAAGAGAGACACAATCTGTGGAAGTTCCTCCTCTTTCCATCAGTTACCAGAACAGCAGAGCAGTATCCCAGTGAAGGTGCTAAATAAAGGTGTGTTGAATCCCAGTGCTTATACTAGGAGATGTTACAACATGGCTTATTTAGGGGTAAATACTCTTTTAACCAGTAGGAGTATGTTGGAAGAACAATTTGCCAACTAGGACATATAAATTGAGTACTCAGAGCTGAAATAATAACTTAGATCCTTATTAAGTGCCTGTTTTGCATGCTTCGTGGCTGCTTTGAGGAGCCATGTGAAAAAATTAGATGTTCTACTGGGGAACATGCTATATAGACTTAGTCTTGAGACTCCAAATACAATTTTTGTGTATGTTTGTGACTAATAAATTATGTACATAGATAGCAACCTGCTAATTTACATATTAATAAAAGTGAGTTATCCTCAGATTATGTACAATCCGCTGTGTCTAGCTGTGCCCTTTCTTGTTTAGGGGTTATAAAGAATGTATGTGAATATATGTGTGAGAATGAGCTTCAAGGGCTTCAGAATTACAGCAGCAGAATTTGCACATCCTCACAGGTTACTGCATAGAGCAGAGTTCTGTTTTTATGTACATAGCTTCTCACTTCTGATGCACTGATGTGCATTCAAACCCTCTGCCTTTTTCTATCTGCTGGAGTACCTTCCAAACCTGGAGGTTCCCAGATGATTTGTGGATGGGATAAAGGCTTCCTGCATGAAGGATGCTTCCCAGGATGGCATTCTTATATGTTTTGTGGTCTTTTTTTTGCCCCATGGCTTTGTGTTAGTGAGACTCTTTGCTTTCACTTGGATACAGGAAGATAGTAAGGCTAGGAGTCAATGGCCTAGCTATTCAAAATCCTTCAGAATTCTTCATTGGGGCCTAAATCTTTCTTGAGTGAGGCCAAAGGGCTTTACTTCCTACCTGAAGTGTACCTACAAATCCTCTCTTCTTCTAGCCCAGACAACACACTGTCTTCATGCATTTTGTTGACTAATATGCTTAAATCAAAAGTTGGTTTAACGTACCATAGACATTGGTGTATGCCAATCTCCATGGTGTCTTTTCTTTTTTTGGCATGCCATGAAGCAAAATTACAGCTTCCCTTTCCACTCTGTTCAACAGAGAGGCATTTGGCTGTGCTCATCTGGCATTTGTGTTCTGAAGTAGAGCCTTCCAGGGCTATCGACACAATTTCCTGGCTTAAGGAGCCCTGCCAAAGAAATATCAGTGTGCTGATAAACAAATATTTTTGTTTGGGTGTAGCAAAGTGTTAAGGTTATCCTGTTAATTTGCCCCTTACTTCATTAGTATTGAGTTAGACTATGTTACTTTGGGGGCTTAGATAAGTTCTTTTATTAATTCATCAGACTGGTAAATTGAAAATAATCATAACATTTACACTGTATAAGATTTTTTATTTGTTTAATATTTGACTTTTAAATATTTTTTAATGTATTGTAAGAAATGCCAATTTTCTACCTCCAAAAGACTTTTAAGTCCATTACTATTTTACCTTGTTGATATAAAAGAATTGCCTTTCAGTGGTTTAATTCTAGAGTAAATACCTTAGATTTGTTTGTGCAGACTGTGTTCTAAAACAAGGAGGAGTTCAGAGAAAAACCTTTGGGTTTTTTTCTCAGAGTTGGGTAAAAAAAGTTTCTGGTTACAACAGTACTGCTGGAGCAGCGTGAAAATATGTGTGTATGTGCAAATTTGTGTGTACTCTTTTGCTACTGATTCCAGAGACCATGAATCACTGTTTGAGAACTGCTTATTAGACAGTAAGTTTGCTTGAATAGAGAGTTTGTGTCTGATAAAATTGACCAACTCTGTGTTATGAAACAATTACCATACTTGGACCTAAAATCCAATCTGGGAAACATTATATTGCATACCTCTATGCTGTTGAGATTTGCCCTTGGCCTGCAACAATTGAAATGCATCACAATGGGTTTCAGTTCCAAATGAATGCCTGGATACATGTATTAGTACATGCACTTAGTACATTTAGGAGTCTACATGCACTGTAGGTGGATAAACTCCTCTTGTTGATGAAGAACTTGTCAGTACTGACAATGCTGTCTACCTCTGAAGAAGAAACCTAAGGTTTGACTCAGTTGCACATACATGACTGCTCAGTATAATCTGAGGTACTCTGGCATGCTTTAGACCTGCACGGAGGAGGTATATCTTTTGGTGTCATATGAGAGACCTGTGTGGCACTTACAAATCAGCCAGATAATCTTAAGGTAGCTGGCACTAGACATCTACTTGTGGGTGATGGAGTGAGAACCCCAGTGGCTGGTCATTTGAATTGCTCTTTAGTCTGTAAACACTGAACTCACAGCTCAGTGGGATGGCACATCATGATACCAATCCATGGAAAACATTTGCTTAATCTAGGAGTTTGCTTTTCAGTCAGCTCAGTGAATTAAACCAACTAACCCCAAAGCTGCACAACCACGATATTCAAAACAAGGTCTGAATGGGTAGTGGCAGGGAACTGGAGAAGCAAGGGAAAGTGCACTTATTCTTTTCAGCAGCAACTAGTTGTTTCATGATGTTAAGCACAGTGTGGAATTACACTTTCTACAGTTTGACTAAACTGAACTCTTCAGCCCTAGAGATGCTCCTGCCAATGCTGGAGAAGAGAAAGAACTAGAATGGTAATCCAGAGGCATCTGTGAAGCTTGTTTCACTGTTTCTGTTGCTGATAACAGAGGATGGATGAAAAACAAACTAAAAGAATAGCCTTATGAAAAAGGCCAAGGCTTTGAAGTTGACTTTGTTACGTATTTCTATCTTTACTTTCATAGAAAAATAGAATCATAGAATATTAGAATGGTTTGGGTTGAAGAGACCTTTACAGGCCATCTAGTCCAAACGTGCTGCAATAAACAGTGTCATCTTCAACTAGATCATATTGCTCATAGCCCTATCCAACTTCATCTTGAATGTTTCCAGGGATGGGGCATCTACCACCTCTGGGCAACCTGCTCTAATGTTTCACCCCTCTCATCAGAAAAGAAATTCTTCTTTATAACTTTTCTAAGGGTACCTTCTTTTAGTTTAAAAGGAGTACCCTTGTCCTATTGCACCACACCCTGTTAAAATGTTTGTCCCCATCTTTCTTATAAGCCCCCTTTAAGTGTTGAAAGGCCACAATAAGGTCTCACCAGAGCTTTCTCTTCTCCAGGCTGAACAATCCCAATCCTCTCAGCCTGCCTTCACAGGAAAGGTGCTCCAGCCCTCTGATCATCTTCGTGGCCTCCTCTTGACTCATTCCAACAGGTCCATGTCTTTCCTGTGATGAGAACCCCAGAGCTGGATGTAGCACTCCAGATGGGGTCTCATGACAGAGGAGTAGCGGAGCAGAATCACCTCCCTTGACTTGCTGGTCACAGTGCTTTTGAGACAACCCAGGATACAGTTGGACTTCTCCCATTTCTCTCTTTGTTTTTTTTGTATTTCTTTTGTTCATTATCCAGTATTTGATAGGGAAACCATACATACAATACAGAGGATATAGGTTCGCTTAGCAACAGCCTCAGGAGCCATCTCCATTTGCCTTCTAAAAGAAGGCAATTTTCCTCCATCTCTGCTTGCCCAGTTGCCAACTTCAGCTCTCTTACCATTTATTATTAATAAGGGAAGTAGTTCAAGGATTTTTCCTTAACAAATAGGATCTCCAGGACAAGAAAAGAAGGAGTCAAATCTCCTCAGGTTATCAAATGAAGATGGGTACCCAGATACTTTGAGAGATAAAAATAGAGATTTTCAATCAGTATCTTGCTTCAGGCATTAAAAGCATAGAGAAATGTCAAGACCATGTCAGAGTAGCCTTTCAGTATAGACAGTGGTTTCAAGAAGAATAGACCATTCCTCACTGTCATTCAAATGGAGACATTTTCCACCTTCAGCTGGTTGCTTATCTCATTCACTCTGTCACCAGATTGCAGGGAAGGGTTGCTAATGTGGATGTTAGGGCATGTCTGTATGCTTATGTATATGCTGCTGTACACTTGTAAGCTGCTGGTGAATCAGTGTTTGGCTGTGTTAGGACAGCATCATGCCCAGAAGCTTTGCAAGTGGTTTCTGAAAAAGATTTGAAATGCTATCTAGCCCTCAGCCAGGATTAAATTCCATATCATTTGTCTGATACAACGGTGTGGGCTCCCTGTACCAGGAACTACTTCTGTATTATCTTTCCTTCTGGTGGGCTCCAGGTGACATCACAGTAGGTATATTACCCAGTAGGCAGCACATGATGAGTTTCACAGGGAGAATGTATCTCCCAAATGTGACGACAGAATTACCTGAAAGAAGGCAAAACCATAGCTCATTCAGAACATTGACTAAACAGGCTATCAGAGCCTGCCAAGAGGAAATAACAGAGAAAACAAAGGTCCATGACCTTCCTGACTCTTGGGCACAGAGAGCTCTGAGCTAGCCTTGACCCAAACAGACAGTCAAGATGGTGTGAAGGTGCAGGTCAGTGCTGCATAGAGAGAACCAGTTTGGCTATGGAAGCTATTTCACATTTTTTTATGTGTCGTCCTACCTGAGCTACCTGTACAGGTCGAGGACTGAGTTAACTTCCTTGGAAACAGCTTGGGTATTTTCACATTGCTCTTCACAGGTCATAAAGGCAGAAGATAGAAACTGTACAGAGTACATCTCCACTCCTAGTACAGTTAATATACTTAGCTGTGATCAAAAGCTGATTGCATTATCTCTCTGCCCAGAGAGGGTGTGGAATCTCCCTCATTGGAGATATTCAAGAACTATCTAGACTCATTCCTGTGTCATGTACTCTAGGACAACCCTGCTTGCGCAGGGAGGTTGGATAAGATGACCCACTGTGGTCCCTTCCAACTTGAACAATTCTGTGCTTTCAAAGATAGCACTGTTGTTTTGTTTTGGGAAATTTAAAGTAAAAAATGCTTCAGAATTCAGGATTTCCCTTTAATGATGAATTTCATTTCATGTAGATTTTGCTGAGTTTTCATCTTGAATATCACTCTGATGTTAGAGAAAATCATTTGACATTGCCCATTCTTCCTTAAGGGCCATATGGCAGTCTATAGGAAAAGAAGAATGAATGTTACAGGAAATTAACTGCGTAGTGGAGTTGTAATCACAGGAATCCTGTCACCTCCAGTGTTATGACCCTTGATTAATATTTATAGCAGAAAGAAAATAAGTACTAATGAGTTTGTTTATTAGCATTTACATAATTTTATGGTTGCATTTAATTCTTAGAATGTTAATTGCTATCTGTGATTAGTCCCTCTCATGCTGAAAAGTTTTTACTGGCGGCTATATCTTTAAGACTTTGTGTTGATTCATGTGTAATTTAAGTTGACAAGGACTCCAGCAGTATAAGGGAACAAAGAGCCTAGTTTCAATGTCTAATTTAGTTGTGGCAGCACTGACTGGATGTACTTTGATGGTAATATTAAATCTCACCACTCCCTGAGTGAGGATTGAAGTAATTAGCAGGGCTTAGTGCCAGAAGGCAATGCAATTCACCATGGTTGAACCTAATTCAAGATTTATGGAGTGCAAATTTCAGTTATTTGTGGATTTTTAGACTACTGATTTTTCTGCTTTGAAGGCATTCTGATAACCTGTTTATTTTCTTTTATGTGTTCTGTTTAACATATACAGTTTCTAGATGGATTCCTGAGACCTCTGAAAGCTTTTGTATTGCGATGTGAGGAAGAACTCCAAAGTTTCAGTTATCTGTTCACTAAAATGTGTGCCATGATTTTCCATTCTCTTCTGTGATGGCAAGAAAAAGTAGAGACAGCAACACCCATTCATGGAAAGACTTAATTTTTTTCCTTATTATTGCATATTTTAGTGTATGCTGTATAATTGTTACCAGCAATTTAAAAGTGCTTCCCACAGCTTTTAGAGCTAGTAGGACTGAGTGGGCAGAGCCCCTGAGCGATACTGCAGGTAAAAAAGATTTGGTTACACTAACATCTATACTAGAGCCCATAGAGTGCTGACTCTTCCCTAGCAGGAGGGTGTCACTGCTCAGTTCAGTTTAGTGGCATCCAGAATTCTTGCTTCTGGGGAACTCTGACACTTGTGTGTGAAACAAATGTAGATGTGAAATTTTGCAGTTTCCCAGTAAAATATTTTTGCAAAGTATACAATTCTGGAAATAACAAGAAACCTTCATCCAGGCACCCTTTTTTGTTATTTGAAATACAATTATATAGATTAATATAATAAGGAAGGCTCTGATATTTTTCTGAAAGTCAAAAGAAATTGAAATGATGCCTTTACACTTTTTAAAATCATACTATTTATTCTTTTTTTTGTTGTTGAAAGCATGAAAGAAGTTCATACATTTGCATATAACATTTTTGTTTTGTTGAAGCACCAAAAACTTAAGAACTATGTCCTGAAAAGGATGAAAATGGACACCTATGCTTAAACAGCTCTGTGGTATAGATAGAGAAATAAAGGCACCTTTTTTTAACTGTTTGTGAGGTTACTTTCCTAGGAACCGTGAATGATTTTCCTTCCACATACTCAAACATGCAACTAAACATGACTATAGGAAAATCAATGTGCATATCTTTCAGGGAAATAAAAGGAATTTCCATCATCCATGGATTCGGGATTATTTGTGGGATAATCTTCCCACCAGTCAGATGTGCATGTGCATTGCTGGACGATTTTCAGATGTGAGATAGCAGCAGGATTAGGCTTTGTACTAGTCTGTGGGAAAATACTCCCTTGGCTCATCTTTGAGAGCACATAGGGTTTGATGTAGGGTTATTTGCTTAGAGTCCAATACCTAAATTTTGAAAGATGCTTCAGATCAGGACATCCTTATGTGTTAAGTGCAAAAGCTTTTATTTATTTAGCAGGAGACAGTGTTAATAGCATTTAGCTCTGAACAAGAAGGGAGTGGAAAAGCCTGTAGGGAATCTATACAGTTGTGTGTTGCTCTGCAGGGAAATGTTCCTGTCTTCCCACTTTAAAGAGTTGAAGTGCACATCCCATTATTTGGTTGATCAACTAGAATTTTTGGAGTGGAAGAGCTCAGCAGGAGCTCAGTGTGAAGCTGCTGTTTGGATTAGCTC